CACACATACTGAGCCATATGGTCGATACTGATCCATACTGGATCGTGAGGCAAGAAGCACTCTAAAAAACCTAGAACTGTAGTCAGGTATGAATTCATATCATATACGCTTCTTTAATGGCATGAGCTGGTTAGAAGGTAAATTACTTTATATTATCAATCACACTGCCCGGATGGAAAAGTTAGGCATTGACTGAAATGTAGTGGCACCCTCGACTTTTTGATAAACAAAGGCTCCTTCAAATTTTTTATCTAATTTATTACATATTAAAAAGGTCAGAACTGAATGAACCTCAGTATACTAATGACTGCTTCATTGTTTTTTTTTATACTACCAGATATAACATGTGCATGCTGAGGTGACTTAGAAGCTTAGCATTTTCTACAGGTTCCCTATATTATCACCATAGAAATAAGCACTAAAGCCAGGTAGATCAGCTCACTTTTTTACTAGTGACTTTACAGAGTATTTAAGTACTTTACTTTAGAAGAACTGGATTGCTTCTGCCCCTGGGCATCATTTAGATACCTATATTAGCTACGCTAGATTTCAGCCATAGTACTTTTAATACACTATGCATTATTTTGCTGATGGTATTTGCAAGCCTTTGAAAGTGATCTTATTAGAAGTGTTACAGAGAGAAAAATAATAATATTATGCTTTATCCTATGGTATTTTTATAGCTTTCTTACTTGACCAATGATCTAATATTATGAACAGGTGCAAAACCAACCATTATAAAGACATTCTGATGGGGTATAACTTATCTTTAACTTAAATATTTCTGCAAGCAAATTTCTGCAATCATTTTAGTATGCATGCCTTTTCTGAGAACCATGCAAATATATCCTTAACACCCTAGTTCTTCACTAGACATGCTATTCTATGCACTCAGTATCATGTGTAACTCCTGACACTCGTCTGTAATTTTTATTTAACAGCCCAACTGCCATTAGGACTTTCTCGTACTCTTATAGGAAACACCATACAAATAGTGTTTTGCCTAAGAGGAGGTGGACACATTCTCAGTTCATGCTGTAGTCGCCACATTAAAAGGCACTTTAAAATGTGTACAGATAGACAGCAAAAGCAATCAAGTTTTTCATCCTCGTAAATCAGCTAACATCAGTGATAATAAACAAACATAGGGCTAGGCAGAGGCTCAAACATGCTACTGAGTTGCCAGAGCATGTTTCAGAGTAAAGCTTGAGTCAGGGGATGTGAGATACAAGCACAGGAAAAAACATTCTGTTTTGGGAGAGGAGGAGAGTAAGATAAGGAAAATAGATATAAACTCATCTATTCCATTTGCCATCTGGGCCAGAAGGCCCTAGCCTATTTATACACTAGGATAAATTTAACCTTGGTGTTCTTATGCTTGTCCACAGTAACTAAATGGATGTAAGTTTTCCGTCCACTCCAACTGCAAATAAAATGCTTTTACAGAGTTAAAATATACTAATTTAAACAATCTGTACTGAATCATTACATGTTTCTTTCACGACTTCAGTGGTCAAGCGCACCTTTATGTCAAGGACTTTTAGAGGTAAAAAGATCTATTCTGGTTATGTGGCCATCTGCTTAGGGTTTAGAGGAGCTTAAACTCCATGTTGACTGAAAGATTACAAAAACTCTAAAGCATAAGTTCACATGGTGCTCAGAAACCTTGGTAGTAAACATATTCACTTTGGAAATTAGTAGAGAAGTTCAAGACATTGCAGCACCTCAAAAATCGTTACCATCGCTTGCTGGAAGCAGCTTATTGACAAAGAGGAAACCAGTAGAATTAAAAACGGGAGTTTTCAAAGCCAAGGTCAACCATTTTAGGTTCAACAGCAGAGGGAGCTAGATCGAGATATTCTAGCAGACTTTGGCCAGATGATCCTTTCTGTTCCCTGAGCTGCGGGAAAGGTAATCATCATGGGTTATGACAGGCAGCTGGGAACCAGGCAATAACATCTTTAGCTGTTCCAGCTGGACATCAAAGGGGATCTCCGTCTACACCTATAGATTGTCATCACCTATTAGAAAAAAATAATTAAATCTTACCTATTATAACACAAAATAATTTATTATCTTGGTCAAGCCACTAATTTTTCTAGTTTGACTTGAATGAGGAAATAAAAAATGTCTTATCTTATTCAGCAGACAGTTTCAAGCAAATCAAAGGAGCAAATTAAACTAAATTAAACTAAACTCTATGGTAACATTGTAGGTTCTATCATTTCAATTTCAGCTTCACGATACTTTCCTTCTATACGTTTATGCTGATTGGTTAGTCCTAAATTCTTCCACTGAATTCTGAATTATATTGTTTGATATCCTATCACGCGTATCCTATTAAGACTGACGACACTGCTAGTGTCATTACTGCACCTCGAAAGTAAAATGAGGTGTCATAAGAACAAAAGCTATAAGTTTAAACTTTCTTTTTAAGAAGATCTCAGTACAATCTTTCCAATTTGTTAATAAGTTTTGTGGTATATGGCTGATTTTTTTTTAAATGAATTTAAAAGTAAGGAACCCAAATCTTTTTCCTCAGAAGTCCTATGATTAGCTTTTAATTTTGATCCTACTTTTCTCCAGATAGCTTTTCAGTTAATTTTCAGTGCAACGAAAATGATAAAGTGTTTTATTTGATTTACACTTTAGTATAAAACTTAATAGGAAAAATTTCACCTCTTGGTAATAGAAAATAAATTTCAGCCTTCTATTCTCAATAACTTTATTTTGAAAGTTTCATTATATCTTAACTTTAATCTGGAAATAATTTTTAAGATACTTTCTTAGCATTATAGAAAATATTTATATGATGCAGTACTCAATGACAGGCAATAGGCAATGATACATAGAGACCACCTTCTTGATTAAGTGCTACACACTGTGTAGCAAAGGGCCTATAAATCTTTGCATAATGACTTATGATAATACTTTTAAAATCATCTTCTTCCTATAATTCTTTTTTTGCTTTTTCCTTTAGCCTTTTCAGAGCAGCATATTGTTTTGTATATTATAGACATTACAGTACAAACGTGGTTATTTAGTGAGCTTCCACTCTTAGTCTACCTTTATCTTTTTTCTCATATTCTTCAAAATATTGACTGAAACAGAATGACTACTTAAGTGTGTAAGAGAATCATATGCTATAGCGATAATACTAAAGGAAACATGGCAAGAAACTACCAAGTGGCACCAACTGAGTTAGGCCTATTATTCCTGTGGCACATTGGTCTTGGACAGAGCTAGTCAAAGTTGTCCAAATCAGAGCCACTGAATGAGTTAACAATTGAATGAGTAGCAATACGGATGACTGAGGTGTTGTGGTTGAGGTCTCTCTTTGATCCTCTTTTAATTTTGCAGGACTGAATATAGAGGGACCTCAGGATGTCATTTGAGGATTGCAATGTACTTGATCTTTAAGTGGTTTTTTAAATTTGGACTTCCTTCTTGATTTTGGACAAGGAAACACATGGAGTCATGCTGGAAGGTTAATATCTAAAATAACAACTAGGATTCACAACTGAAGATATTTGCCATTATCATATTCTTTCAGTCTTTTTTTCCCCACAGTCTCAAGGAAGAAAATCTTTGCAGATTCAGAGACAGGAAAGAAATAGTTTAACAATATTCTTTGCTCTATCAGTGACTTCTTTCTTTACTCATTGGTCCCTAGGCTTAGGATTTGATCTCTCAGAAACAGTATACCCCAATGAACATGAAGAGATTTAGATATGTGAGAACATTGTCTCTGACTTCCTATGTAGAAATCACTCTTATAGACAATGATATGATTTGAGTTTATTACTAGTATGATTTTGGAATGAAATCATCCTCAAAAAGCAAGACTGAACTGGGGGCTAATTCTAGACTTACTAGTCACTGACTAATTTTTGGTGTTGTGATCTTTTGCATGAACATTTGCATGTAATCATCTAAACTCATTTATTCTTATCTAGTCGAAAGGAGAATAATTATTTATAGGTACTAAACAGAAGAAAATTACTATTTACTACTCATAAAAAAAGAAGACTCCGAAGTCTGCTTCATAGGATCACAGAAGTGTTCATAGCAAGGGATCTCCAAAGGACCTCTGGGGCCATCTAGTTCAACCTCCCCCTCAAAGCAGGGTTAATGCCAACACTAGATCTGGTGATCCACAGCCTCACCTGGCTAAGTAATGAAAACTCCCAATAAAGGTGATTTCATGACCTCTGAATAATGTGCTGCAGTGCTGCACTGTCTTCTAAGTGTTTTTTTTTTCCCCTAGTATCCAACCTAAACCATCCATACTATGCTGTGAGACCTTTACCCCTTCTTATGTTGTGTGGCGCTCCTAAGAAGAGTTCCATTACCCTCATAACTACCCTTCAAGTAGTTTTGAGCTGCTAGTAGATCGTCACTTAGCTGTTTCTTCAAATAAGCCTCTCCTCCTAGGTCTCATACTTTGGGCCCTGACCATGCTGATAGTCCTCACTGGACTCTCTCCAGCTTCTGCATATCCCTCTTGAACTGTGGAGTCCAAACCTGGAAATAGTATTCCAGCTGCAGCCTCACCACAACAGGGTCTTACAAGAATACTAAATAACTTCACTCGGTCTGCTGACCAAGTTTTTCCTACTGGAGTCCAATATGCAGCCTTATTTATTTGCACTGTTGGATCATATTCAACCTGGCATCTGTCATAACCCCAGTTCGGCAGAATAACTATTCAGCCTGTCCTTCTTAGCACGTCACAACGTAGGCGGTTACTCCTTTTCAGGTTCAAAATTACACTTCTTGTTGGGATTCTGCTGGCCCAGTTCTCAGATTTATCGACATCACTCTGGGTGAAGTGCTGCATTTCATAGTGTCTAATCCTGAATGGTTTTGCTTTTAAACATCCAGAGTATTAAGCAGCTGCTGATAATAAAATGATGTGAGTTTTACAATAATAGTGATTATATTCCTTTTATATTAAAAAAAAAAAAAAAAAAAAAGAAAGAGCAAACAGAATAAATTACCTGTGGTGGAAGCAGTGGTAATCTGATATAAGCAAGTAGCATACTTAGGTCACTGCATCGCCTCTGCATATCATACTTCACCCACATCATTAAGGCATGGAAAATGGTCTCTTCATCAGGAACATTGACATCGTCACTAGCAAGAAGTTTATGAAGTTCTTCAGCCGGTAGAAGTAAAAACTCTTGATTTCTTATAACTTCCATTATATTCTCCTGAGAAGATGAAAATATTTTAGATTCATTCATACTGAAAGGAAAAAAGGAAAAGCTATTAAAGCCAAAAAATCCCATAAAATTAAGCAATAATTTTCATACCCAGCCCTTCTACAAATCTTCAGGAAAAGAAAATAAAGATGGTTAGAAGAAACAGCTACAGTTGTAATTCATATGTGACTGAGAAAACAAAAGGAAAATTGTACTGTAATATTTTGCAATAAAGGTAGAGTTCATTAAATAACTAGTAATGGAAAAACAAATTGTCGTCCAAGAATTAATAAAGACTAATGCAGATCTACATGTTGTTTGAATTTTAATAAACTCAGTCAAACCTGAGCACATCCAATATATTATGTTTACATGCACACACACATATTTTTCTATATTTTTTCCTATTCTATATTTCTATATTTTTTCCTAGCTGATCTATTTCCTAAATAGCTTTAGTCATATACAGTTACCTTATCAATAACTGCATAATGTTCGTTTATATAAGGCTAAGTTTCAGACCATGAGGTTAGCATTACCTCCTGAACGTGTCTAGAATGAATTGTTGCCCCCCAGCTAGTACCCAAAATATGTACAGCAATTAGAAACTCATTATACTGAAGTTTATAATAAAGATAACAATAACAAAAATATTAAACTAAATACAAATTGTTAATTTGTATTTGTTAATAGTTGACTGAATCCTGAGGACTTGATTAAGCAATCTCTGAACTACCTACCCTACCCTACACTAACAGGGAACATGACAAGCACAGTTTCTTTCTTTCTTTCCAAAGTTTCTTTCTCAATCTATTTATTTTAGGGTGCTCGCATTCCTTCGTTCATATATAACTGTAGGAGGAGAGTGAAATAGCTATAAATTAGAGGCACAAGATCCTCCCCCGGAAAAAAGAAAAATCTAAATTTGATATGAAATAAACAGGAAACCAGTAAAAGGTATTGGAGAGAGAAATGAGTTACAAGATATGATAGGTAAAAAACAATCATTAATTTTGATGATGACATTTTGGATAGACTTAGTGAACCTAAGAAGCAGGGAAACAAAAGGCAAGAGTTATGACAAAAAGCCAGTTAGGGTCTTAAAAGGAAGGATAGGGAAATTGAGGGAAAGGAATAATTCTGCTGCTACACCCACTCAATTCAATTGTTAGAATATATGTCTATAATTGCTTATATGGGTTCAAATCAGGGAACAAATTGACTGTTCAGTAGGAGCTGAACTAGAACTTACACAGTATTTCTGGCACAAGCAGAGTCTATACTGTCTTTTGTGTTTTTTCCCAATGTAAGAAGATAATTGTTCTGATTCTCCAATATCATATACTTTGGAAGTTACCAGTAAAAAGAACCTGTTAAAAACAGCTGTGTATTATTTTATATAGGATTGCAGATGGAGATGAATAATAAAGACCTAGGCATGACAAAATGATAACAGATTTTGAACTTTATTGAGATATGTAATATAATTACATATGCCAACATATGCATGCATATAGAATAAATTAGCTAAAGCTAAAGCGATGTTTATTATTAAGAAGGTGAATACTTTTTCATATAAAACAATTTTTAATGATGCATAACTTTTTCACAAAGTCCCAGAATGGTTGAGGTTGGAAGGGACCTCTGGAGATCATCTAGTCCAACCTCCCTGCTCAAGCAGGGTCCTCTAGAGCATATTGCCCAGGATCGCGTCCAGGCGGGTTTTGAATATCTCCAGAGAAGGAGACTCCACTACCTCTCTGGGCAACCTGTTCCAGTGCTCTGTCACCTTCACAGCAAAGAAGTTTTTCCTCATCTTCAGATGGAACTTCCTGGGTTTCAGTTTCTGCCCGTTGCCTCTTGTCCTGTCACATGGCACTATGGGTGCCAAGTTTACCTCTATATATAGGCACCTATATCGGCATGCCGACACAGAGACACTCAAAGGTTCACAGTCTATACTAACTGTGTTTAACACACACAGTTAAACACAGTTAAACACAGTTAAACAACTTATAGCCAAAGGTGACACTTTTTTTTTTTTAACGTCACTTGACTAAATGTCAAAGGGTACCTAAAAGATTAGATTTTTAGGGCCTGAGGTTTTAACTCATTGACTTTCGTTAAAGTATGCTTAAATTATTTGACTAAAATGTTGTGTAATAGTTTGGAAATACAGGGGGAAAAGTATGCCGGGACTTAACCACAAGTTGGCTTAATTTATTTTAATTAAAAAGCCATAAAACTCATAAAATTTCATTCCATTTCTCAATTAAATGACTTATAAGCCAAAGTTTAATTAGGTCTGGTTAAATTGACATTAAATCCCATTATGAAGAAAATATAACTCTACTTATTAATTGGCATCAGCATCAAAGTTTGCAATAGTGTATTAATCCAAAGATCTAATATTCTTGCACAGCATTGTGATGGTAGAATACATTTATGAACTCACAGAACTTAATTAATTTTGGGTAACACTAGGAGCAGGGGCTCTGAATTCAGAACAATAATTTTAGGTTTGATATCTTTCATCATTTTTAATTGTGTTTTCATTGGATATATGTGATTTTTTAAGGACAGCTTATTCCAGCCTATATACTGATTAATCAGCAATTGAAAGCAAAAACCATCAAAGATTTCAGACAACATATATGAGTTTTCAAAGTGTGAACGTGTTGTTATAAACACCTTGAATTACACCAGTTTTCATGTGACCCAGGACTAGATATCCTAGGAACTGCTTTTTTTAAAATTTTTATATAATTACAGCTGATATATGTTTAAAACATAACAGCAGTAAAAGCCAGGTTCTTGATTTTCAGAACCCCAAACGCTTTCTTTCAAGTCTTTATCATTCCCTAACTTCACTAGGGAATGTATCTGCCTCATGACTTCCCAGCTCACATTTTACTTTCTTAGGATTCATTTCATTTGGAGTAGCTTTCAGTAGCTTTCTATTTCATAATGGAAATAATCTATTTTATTTTTCCTATGGAAAAATATCAGAAGGACTGTGCTCCTTTTTAAAAGAAAAGAAACTGTATGAGACAAAGCAAGGCAAATGTCCATATAAGATAGTAATGATTTACATTGTTTCCGAACGCTGATTTCCCAACACAAAAAATTCTATGTGCATGGTTATCTTTGCTGCTAGCTGAAAAATTTGTATTTGTTCACTTAATTTACACTCAATTCCAAGGCCTCCGTTTGTCAGAAATCATTTAGTTTTATATGAATTCTACTGTGATAGCCGCTTATAAGATTATAAAATGAATAATTGTGTCACATCACCCATTACTTGTAAAGGTGTTTCTATCAGGCTCCCAAGGGCACTGCCAGCCTTCCCTGTCCCTGCCCAGCTCCATTTCAGCGCAGCCTGGGGCCATTAGTCACCGCCCACAAGGCCACGGCAGTGCCAGCTCCAGCACCACCGTGGCCCTGCCCCTCAAGGTAAATGGAATAATTTTCTAAATTCTACTGGAATTAAGGTGCCAGGTAGTCATTAAGCTACTAGGTCTTGCTCTGTTGAAGTGTTTTAGGAATGCTTAGATCCTCCAGGCTGAAAAATTTAAATTTTGAGAATAAAGGCACCCAGAATGTGGGCATTTCCAGGTTTACGTGACAAAGATATATGAGTTTTCAGGATCTGTAATTTCCAAGTCTGATACCTATGGAGTTTTGTAGATCCGGACTTCATTTTTTCGTAAGTGATGAACCGATCTGTGACTAATACTTCTCCTGCATGGGTCATTCACTTAGCCTTTCCCTCAAGCAAGAATTGTAATGTTTTAATTAAGTAGTGGATTTTTGTTTTTAAATTAGAAAAGGTAACTTCGAGTGGAACATGTGAAAGTCTCTGAACTCACGTGGAGAAAGCAATGTCTCATTTGGCTGCTGTTCCACTTTCTTAAAATCATCATACAGTAACTGCTGCCATGGGGTCGCAGCCTTTTCCTGGCAGAGCTATTTTACTTTTAAACCTTTTCAGTAACACACAGGGTTAGACCATAAAGCTGCAGCAGAGCTAAGTCAGGTAAACAAAATATATCTATATTTAAAGGTGAATAAGTAAGTATCTCAGCCTCTTAGTCTAACAGATTGTGCATCATAGGAACATAAGTGATCTAAAAAAATAAAAGTTTTACCACATGATATTTAATAAAAATGAATTCTGTTAGCTATATCCTTCTAATGATGTTAATAATACAAGTGAATTTGATTTTTTTAATCAGGATTTGTAATGATCACTTTTTTCACATAGGATCAAATTACTTTGGAAAAATCCTTTCTCATTGATGTATACGTAATTGATTTAACTAATTAGCATGCATGTAGTTGTAAGGAAAGGCCTGAGAGTAATTTCTTCAATATTACAATAAATATGAAATAATTTCATATCTTGACCAAAAGAGAGTGCCAGGTCCCGAGAGTGCCAGTTAGAATCGGTTGTGACATGAAAGAGTTGCCCTGGCATTAAAATGCTTAGCAGATTTTTTCTGTTTTGGATGGAGGAGTCTGATTTCAGTTTTGTATTTTATTGATTTTAATGCTGTAGCATTTCTGATATAAGAATGATGTATGCATACGAGAATACTGAAAACAAGTATCTGTACACTAGTATTTGCCTTAAATCATAACTGACTAGTGTCAATGAACATTCTAAACTCATACTGATTTTGATTAAAAAGCTAAGTTTTCAAAAGAACATTTAAATAAATGAATAAAGAGAGCCTCTGATTTCCACTTCAAATCATGTAGTTTATTTGCTGAAGTGCTAAAGACCTGAAAATCAATTTTGATTTTGGCCAAGGAGCAAACTATTTCAGTTTGAAATGATTGCTGTAGTGCTACATGGAATTCAGTTCTCTTGCTTTGTCTGCTGATTTCCCTCTCAGCTTTCTATCATGCAAGACTGCATTGCCTATTTTCAGCATTACCAAAAACTACCTATCTGTGCAAAGACTGTCCTGTTATATATCTTCTTTCCTAAGAAGAACAATATTTTC